CTTCAACGTTGCGGCCGATCTGCGTTGAGAAGCATCTCTGGATCATACGTTGATAAGTTGCTCCTGCGTTTTTTAGTCCGAACGGCATGGTGACGTAGCAGTATGCTCCAAAGGGCGTGATGAATGAAGTCTTCAAGCAGTCGGATTCCTTCAGTCGGATCTGATGATACCCCGAGTAGCAGTCCAAAAAACTGAGAAGCTCACAGCCAGCGGTCGAGTCGACTACCTGGTCAATGCGAGGCAACCCAAAAGGATCTTTAGGGCAAGATTTGTTGAGGTCAGTATAATCAACACACATGCGCCATTGCCCCGTTTTCTTCCGTACTAGAACCGGGTTTGCCAGCCAGTCGGGATGAAGGACTTCTTTAATGAAGCCTGCCGCTAACAGCTTGGTTAATTCCTCCTTGATCGCGTCCTTCCTGTCTTGTGCGAATCGGCGGAGTCGTTGTTTGATAGGCTTGGCATCTTGTTTGACATGTAAGGAGTGCTCAATCACCTCTCTAGGAATACCGGGCATATCAGATGGTTTCCACGCAAAGATATCTTTATTGTTCTGAAGAAAGGTGATGAGCGCGCTTTCCTATTTACAATCTAACTCGGCACCTATTACAGCAGTTTTAGTAGAATCAGAAGGATCTAGGGGAATCTTTTTAGTCTTGGCTTCGCTTTCTCCACTTTTTGAGATCTTGGTAGCGGGCACTTCTCCTTCGCTCGCCGTGGCTGCAGCCAGTCGGATATCCTCTCGGGCTGACGCCATCTCGCGGGTTTGGGCCATGTCGCAACTCTCCTTGTCGCATGTGACGGCTTGCTTGATGTCGCTCCGTAGGGATAGGACTCCTCGGGGACCAGGCATCTTCATCATCATGTAAGTGTAGTGCGGGACGGCCATAAACTTGGCTAACGCCGGGCGTCCGAGTATGGCATGGTATGCTGTCTCGAAATCGGCGACTTCAAAGCTGATATTCTCTGTGCGGAAGTTTTCCCGAGTGCCAAAAGTGACCGGGAGGATGATCTGGCCGAGTGGAGTTGCGGATAATCCTGGAATTACTCCGTGAAAAGGCGCATTGCTTGGTTTTAGCTCGGAGCGAGGGATCTGCATATCATCCAAGGTCTTAGCGAAGAGGATATTGAGTGCACTGCCACCGTCGATGAGGGTTCTGCGAAGCTTGACATTACGGACCACTGGGTCTAGTACCAGGGGGTACCGCCCCGGATGGACCACTCGGTCAGGATGATCCGAGCGGTCAAACTTGATTGCAATTTCTGACCATCGAAGATACTGGGGCGTGTCGGGCTGAACAGCATTGATCTCCCGTTCAGTCAACTTTTGCTTCCTTTTAGACTCATAAGCCAGGGGGCCGCCGAAGATATGGTTGAGCTCCTTGCGGTGGTCTTGAAATCCTGCCGGGGTGTCGCCGTCGTCCTTCTTCCTCGACGTGCTTTGTTCTTCGTCAGAGTTTTTCCGTGTAGTCTTGGTGTATTGCTCCGCAAACTGCTTGTAGACGAAACAATCTTTGGCCACGTGGTTGGAGTTAGGATGGTGCGGGCATTGGGAGTTCATGATCTTGTCGAACGTGTTGACGCGCGAACGCTGTCGAGAAGAGTGAGTGGCGGTTGCGACAAGTTCCTCAGGCTTACGCTTGCGGTCCTTATGGTTGTTACTTCCACCTCCTCCCGTAGCCGGCGTACCCTTGTTTGGCTTCCAACTGGGACCCGACTGCTTTGATGCGGTGACGGCGTCTTCGGCTTTGGCGTACTCGTTGGCTTTTTCAAACATAAGCTTGACTGTCCTGGGAGGCTTACGCCCGAACTTGCCGACCAATTCTTCGTGGCGAATCCCTTTGGTGAATGCGGCGATGATAACGTCGTCGGTGATGTCGGAGATCTTGTTACGTTGTTCGGAAAATCGTCGGATGTAATCTCGAAGGGATTCTCCGGACTTCTGAATAACGTTGTAGAGGTCGTATTGTGTGCCGGGACGCTCGAAGGTGCCTTGGAAGTTGGCGATGAAGTGGTCGCGTAATTCAGCCCAAGATCCAATTGTACCACGGGGCAATCCATGGAGCCAAGATCGGGCGGAATCCGCTAAAGCCACTGGTAAATAGTTCGCCATGGCCTTGCTGTCTCCTCCTGCTGCGCGGATTGCGAGACCGTAGACGGTAAGCCACGATTCTGGGTTAGTGGTACCGTCGTACTTCTCTATTCCAGTCGGCTTGAAGCCGGCTGGCCAATCCACTCGACGCAGGTCGTCGGTGAAGGCTGCTACTCCGTCAAGGTCGTCGTCGTGGCGGTCCGGCGAATGATGATGGCCTCGAGCTGCTCGGCGCTGTATGATTGTGTCGCGAAGATCGACGGGGCGGCGACGAGGTGGTGAGCGAGGCCGTTCCACTCGGCGCTCCCTATGATGGTCGGGAGGTGAGTGAACGGACCGCTCGTCGTGACCCCTGCTCCTGCGATTGGATCCTGCGCCGGTGATGCTGAGGCTTGGATGACGGTAGTCATGAGATCGGAAGTGGGGGACTCGGCTGCCGGTCGGCGTATGGACGCTTTCGGAGTTAACTGGGACCGAAGCCGCAATCATGGTCTTCGTCTGGTTCAAGATGTTGACGACGTGATCAGATTGATTGAGCTCGTTTTCCTTGAGAAGGGTGTCGAGGAGGGTGATCGCGGCAACCGCATTCTGTTGAGGGGTGCGGAAAACCGGTGTCCCTTCAACATCTTGTTGGCCGATGAGATCACGCGCTCGGCGCCCTGCTTCCAAAGCTCGCTGCCGTCGATCCTCAGCCTCCTTCGCGGTCCGCTCACGCTCCTGCTGCTCACGCCGTAGCCGTTCTTGTTCTTGTGCTTGATGCTCCTCCTCCAGTCGGCGACGCTCAGTCTCGCGACGTGCTTCGGTCTCCCGGGCTTGGCGTTGCTCCTCCGTCTCGTCATCGGCCATGAAGACGCCGAAGTAGAGAGGGGTGTAGTTGTCATCTAGGCTTCCGTCGAAGTCGTCGAGATCCGGGTCGTTGTAGCGAGAGCTAAACTCGTCGTACTCCACGATGTCGGTGGGGCGCGAGTCGACGGTGGGAGAGCTGTAGTAGCCATCCAGCTGATCCGTCGAAACCGTGCCGAGTGGTTGGAGGATGACGCCGACTTCCCTGAAGCTAGGCGAAATCGGTGTTGAAGCCGACTTCCGCCTAGGCCTACGGGATGGAGACGCTGTCGTGATGGAGACGGCCGCCAAATCGTCGGGGAGCTTCATCAGGATCGGTGGGTAAGCCCCATCATCTTGATCTGGTGACGTTGGAGAAGATGCGATCTCACCCAAGTGGTTTGAAGCCAACTCGATTGAGATGGTCTTGAAGTAACTTTCAGCCGCGTTTGGGAGTCCAAACGGGACTGAAATCCGGTTCTCTCCCGACTGGTCTGACACCGAGTCAAGGAGAGAGATCTTGCCGAAGTTGTTGGTGACGAAGTCGAGGCTGCCGAACCGAAACGTCTGCCCAGGTGGGAAGACGAGGTCGTCGATGCCGGAGACGGAACCCATTGCACTGATCGGCGAAAAGCTTGACGCAACCCCTACCTGGCGCGCCAACTGTCGAAACTAGATTTCGGCAATAATAAAAGGGGGTGGCTATCAAGCTGGAGAAGTGTATGGGTTTGGAGACAAAAGATTTATACAGGTTCAGGCCTTCTTATTCAAGAAGTAATACCCTACTCCTGTCCGGGGATGAATCCGCCGAGTGTCTTATTGATTGTATAATTTGGAGAAAATCAACCTCTGCCCCTAGAGGCACCCGGACCCCCCTTATATATGGGAGGGAGTCCGTGTTACAAAAGATAATCTATATCCCTAACGGAATATGCAGATACAGATAAAATACAGTCGTAACCGACTAAGTCTCAAGGTATTTCCTTGATGTACAAGTTGAGAAACAAACCCGAGATACAAATAAGATATTCTATCTATATTCGGTATCCTATATTCAGCCCAAATATCATCGCCGTGTAGATATGGGATATCCATAATCTCCACAATCACATTAGTCCCGGTTTCAACAAACTGGGACTAATTCATCTTTAGTCCTGGTTCAAAAGTCCATCTTTAGTCTAGTTTCGTTACCAACCGGGACAAAAAAAATTATATCTTTAATCCCGGTTGGTAACCGGGATTAGATATCTCTCTCCCACGTCATTGGCATCTCTCACTCTCTCTCCCCCTCTCTCTCTCTTCCTTATCTCGGCATCGGCAACAACGCCTTATCCCCTCCTCCTCCTCCTCCTCCCCTCTTCACGCCTTCTTCTCCTCCTCCTCCACTCCTCCTCCCCCTCCCCTCTCGTCTGATCCCCTCCTCCCCTTCCCCTCTCCCTCTCCCATCTCCACGGCGACACCCTCCCTTGCGTCGGATCGGGCGGGAGAGGAGCCGGCGGGAGAGGCGGGCAACGGCGCACGAGGCGGCGGCCTCCCCTCTGCCAGATCCGGCGGGAGGGGAGGCGATAGGATGGGAGGGTGGCCGGGTGGCAGCCCGGTGGAGGAGGCGGCGGCGGCGGCCGGGCGGGGCCCTCCTCCTCCTCACCCCCGTCTGCTGGCTATGACTGATTTGTTTTTAGATTTTATTATAGATTTTTTTAGATTTGGGAAGATTTTGTGGATGGGCCAGTGATTTGTGGATGATTTTATAGATGGGCCTATAAATTGTGGATGATTTGTGGGGATTTGGGGTGACGGCGTCGGTGATTTCGGCTCAAAATCAATAGATGCAAGCAGCAAAGAACAATAGAAAAAGAAAGAAAAAGAACTTTAGTCCCGGTTGGTAACACCAATCTGGACTAAAGTTGGTAGCACCACCAACTGTGACTAAAGATGAATCTTTAGTCCCAGTTATTTCAACCGGTACTTAAAAAATGCTCATCGGAGTCTCGGTTTGTAACCTAGGACTAAAGGCGTTGTAAACTAGATCTGAAGATCACTTCTCCAGCGGTGGAAGAACAAAGAAGAGAGAAAGGTAGAGATCATCAAAATGAATACTCCACTACTTTTAGATCATCAACTGTTTTATTTCCAAAGATTACCCAAATATAAACCTTTCATGATATATAAGAAAGTACCCAAGATTTTTGGCGTCTGCGCCAACTAGGAAAGCTGACATGATTATCCATGAACTGGAGAACCGTTAGTTCTTCGGCCTAATTTCGATCCCCTCTACAATAATTTGGCATTGGTGCGATCCGGTTAAGCCCCTAAACTCAATAGAAATGTCTCCATTCTCTTCATTGTTCTGTTTTACCACTGATATCTCTGTACTAATTTCCTGCTCCATCCATCCATCACTTCTTACACAAATGCCTACATATTTCAGTTCTTTCTTCTGGTTATTGTTGGTTTTTACAAATGATGATCCATCATAATCCATGTTGAACAACAGTGAGCGCAGATGTTTCTGCGGCATAAGATGGTTGCATTCATGACTGCAAATGCTGGAGGTGGATGATGACCCAGATGCTGTTGCATCTTGTTCTTTGTAGCCTCCATTTTGATCTTCTGTGTGCAAGAATTGGACATTGTACACAAGATAAGCTCCGTAGGATGTACCGTTTGAGAGATGCTTTGTGTTGAAGATACCATAGATGTCCAACCAACACAAGTGGGAGAGGATGGCCACCTCAGAAAACCTAGAAATAAAGAAGGGAAAATAATGGACATATAATCGTCAGAAGGGTTGTCTGCTATTTATGGGAGAGAAAAATCAACAAGGAGTACATCCCATGACAAAAAAAAAGACATGTTTACAATGTTCTGTGGTAGTAGAACCAATCTAGATTTTCTAATCAATATGGACCATATCTACTGATAGCAGAATTCATAAATCAACACTTAAGATCATTTCTACGGATGATAATACTCTTAGTATTCAAGAAGGAAATGCATGATATTTTGTACTCCCTCCGTCCCAAATATAAGCATTTTTAGCTATTAATCTGGATGACCGTGCGTCCAGATTCATAGCCAAAGGTGTTACATTTTGGGACGGAGATAGTAGTAAATGATATTTACATAAAGCCAGAATTAAATTTGAAAACATACTGTTGATTTGTTTTTTTCTTATAAATATTCGGAATGTAAATGTTTTGGCGGAAATATACCGTCGACCTCGCATAACCGTTGCGTAAAAATGATGTAGGCGTAACGACACGGGCGATCTCGCACGGCAAAGATGCGAGACCGCACGGTCTTGTGCGAGGAAACAGCTGAGACCGAACGGTCTCGCATAAGGAACCAACGAGACCGAACTTCTTGTCCAACGGTGCCGTCTAATTAGTGATTAATTACCTGATTTATGATGATAATTAATCACTAATTAATTAACCATATGAATTGGCATGGCAGTCCGGGATCGCCGACTGGTTCAGCGGGGTCTCGCGGTATGGCTGCGCAAGACCGCTCGGTCTCGCGCCGCCACGTACTGTCCACGTCCTCGTTTTCGCGAAGCGATATTGATAATATATTTCTCCCAAAATAATTACACCCCGAACAATTTAAATAAAAAATAGGTAAACAATATATTTCTAAATTTAATTCCGTAAAGCCTTGCAAAAATAACACATATAATGTGGGATTTCTTCATTGGTTTTGTGCACCAACCACAAACCTGGAATCCGGATGGTTTTGTATCCAGACGAGACCTCCGTAGGGATAGCCGCTCCATCCAAAACCGAGAGCTCTTGCTCGCATCATGTATTTCTTGGCACCACTACGCTTCTCCAACGAAAAGCTCTGGTGCAATGAGAGCAGGGATATCAGTGAACTGAATGCCCAGTACTGTTAGTGTGAAGGCAAAACTGGTATGAACTAGTCTATTACTCCCTTCATTTTATATTATAGGTCATTTGACTTTTTTTAGTTTAATCAAATTTATAGAAAATATATAGTAGTATTTCTAAAACAAAGCAAACATATTATCAAAATATATTCAATTCTAGATTTAATAAAATTAATTTAATATTTTAGATGTTGCTAATTTTTTTATAAACTTGATCAAATTTAATAAAGTTTGACTTAGAAACAAAAGACAAACGACTTATAATATGAAATGTAGGAAGTATCTATCTATTTATGTATTTAGTTGTGCTATTCTTCTTATCTATCTATCTATCTATCTATCTATCTATCTATCTATCTATCTATGTGCTATCAGTCAGTGAAATGAATTACGAAGGTCTAGATTAAAAGAACAGATCATATCAAGAAAAGTTTCCAAATTCCGTAATTGTGTTTTATCAATAGAAAACATATATTAAGGTTCACAAAATTAATCTAGAAAAAATAATTGTCCACAAGTATGTGTTGAAAATAAAAATATTCAATAATTTTTTACGTACAATTTTGAATACAGTTTTAAATAAATAACAGTTATTAAATAATAGCCTTGACAAACTTACCCATAACTACTATATGCTATGAAAATTTTCCTTTTAATCATTACAATTTACATAGAATTTCAATAAAATCCAAATGGATAAAAATAGTTTTGTAATATATTGTATCCACCTATTAATATATTTTGACAAACCTATTAATTCCATATTTACCTGTCAACCCCTTTATTTTTACTTATAATTGGTCAGTTAAGATTTGGAGCTTCAGAGTTTAAACATTTCATAGAACGAGATTAAGGCACTGTTTAGTTCCTCTAAAATGGCATAAGTTTTGCTGTTTTTGAGTACTTTTTGTCAAAATGGATCTAAACACTAATATCAAAAGTTAGCAATTTAGCATTTATCATTTGGAAGTCTAGAGTAGCAAATTTTACCAAAAAATACGTTGGGAGCATTGCTCTATCTGTCTTTACTAGTAAAATGGTAAAACTTTACCATGCATCTAAGTCATCTAGACACCAACTAACAAACTTCAATGCCAAATCTTTTGCCACCAAAACTTTTACCAAAAAAATTTACCACAGCAAATTGATCTTAACAGGCCCTACAAAAGAGGCAATAGTAGTACATAGTACTTCCTCCCTCTAGTTTTGGTTCCATAAGGCTATTCCCAACCCAAGACACTAGATATAGTTTCCATAAACTTCACATAATTAAGAAACTAATACTAGACACTACTCTTCCAAACATCACTATTCCATACTTAAGTTTAATGCTACTTATCTCACATGATGTCTTGGATGTTGTGTAGAAACTATGTCCCATGCAAGACGTGGTTTCCTTCTCTTTCCTCATTTATTCACTTGTCACCTCATTTTTTATCCTAGGTGGCAGTTTATTTAATGCTATGACACCATTCTAGTCATTGGATTGGAAATGGCCTAATGTTTTGAACAATGACATAGTTTCTAAAATATATATTTAACTATGTTTTTCTATTATATTATATAGAATAAATAAATACATTTTTATTTTTATATAGTACTACTATATATATTGCTCAAGTGCCTTTATAAACTAAATATTTATAAAATTATTGATAGTCAAAATTATAAATGTTTGACCAAACCGTGTTCAAAACTTCAATAATTATGGAACCAAAGGTAAAAAAAAAGAATTAACAAACAACGCAGATAAGGAATTAAATGGCTTTTGATTACCAGCTTGCCGCCGTCGAGAAGGACAGGCAAGTCGCAGAGGCGGAGGAACATCTCCTTCTTGCTCTCCCCCTCGCGGCCCCCCGGCTTACCGTCCAGGGCGTCGCCGTCGCCGGCCCACTCCGGCGGGAGGAAGCTCCCCCACACGTCATCCGAGTCGGCCACCGGCCGGAGCGCCGCGGCCGCCGCCGCCAGCCGGCACGCGTCGCCGGGCGACGTCAGCGAGGCAATGCACGCGATGCAGTCCATCGGCAGGTCGCACATGCCGCTGCCGCCGCCGCCGCCGCCGCTCGACTTCCTCTGCATGTTGGATATATGTATATATCGTTCTCACGTCTGCCCTTCTGCTGTTGTTGAAGCTGCTTGGCGGCGAGAGGTGGAGGATGAATGGCAAAATGCGGGCATATATATGCATATAAATGCTTGTTCTGTGGTAATGAAAATAACATGGTGTCGCGACCATGGCGACACGCAGAGCTAGTCACCTGCGTCCTGTAGTTTCTGTTTTCATTGTAGGCGAGGGACGAACAAGCGTTCTTGTGTTAATCACATAATGACGACATCGTGTATAAGAGCGTACATAGAAAGGTTGACCCAACCGGTCGGTCGGTGAAGAGAACAAATGATGACTAGCTAATACTCCCTCCGTTTCACAATGTAAGTCATTCTAGCATTTCCCACATTCATGCTAATGTTAATAAATTTAGACATATATATCTATCTAGATTCATTAACATCAATACGAATGTAGGAAATGCTAAAATAACTTACATTGTGAAACGGAGAAAGTAACTCTATGTTAGGTTATATACTTATGGTGTACTCCTTTTTATCCGTGTCACTGTGTTTTGCAACAAAATTTTATGTAAAAGAGAAGTAATGTTAGTATGTTGTTGCCATTATTTTCTTTTTATATATATTTATTACTGACATGTCGATTCTTTGGTCCCATGACTTTTTTTTTCTTTAGACATCCTCAATGTTTATTGTAAACTAGGTAGTAAGGTAGACTCGTGCCATGTGGTAATAGTAGGATGAAGAGGCACCACAATATATATATGTGTAAAGTAGATAATAAGGTGGGACCCATCTGAAAAATTCTTCAAACATGAGTCATGCTACAATTAAAAAATAGATGGGACCAGACATAAAGTGCTAATACATGGTAGTAAGTTTATATTTGCTAGTTGTTAACCATCTCCACGATGTGATGCATTCTGTTTATTACCCACAATTTCACCACATGTAAGCTCTCTAACCCCGTATGTTACTAGCTGATTTGCTCGTGCGTTACTACTGAATTTTTAGAAAATAAACTTTTGCATTCATTTTTAAATCCTAAAACTATCTACCTATCAAGCTATACTTCACCATGAGTTTTTGATGCTTACTGAATTAGCTAGAGTAGAGGCATAGAGCTATTTCTGTTTGATTAATCATAGGAGAAGCAAAAAAGTTTCACCAACATTATAGGGTCCATACAAAGGTGAAACACGTGATGGTGATAGATTCAGTGTCACCACTATTACCAACATTTAAAAATAGTATAGCAAATAGTAGGCAGTTGGTGAGGTTGGGGGTGGCGAAACCACCACCACTCCTCTGTTTCAAAGAAGTATAAATAATACCCCTTATTTAAATATATATATATAGTGAATTATGGTTTGGATCAACTTTTGTTACTAAAATTTCAGCTTCGACCATTTTTTATCCAACTAGGAAGGTAGCCCGCGCAGTTGCGCGGGCATCTTATTTAAACTATCATAATTTTTGTTATTAGGATTTTGAATATCATGACTTTTGTCTCTCGGTGAAAGAATTTGAAGGTTCTTTCCAACACATGATTGAAAAAAATATATAAGTCAGAAACATGTTAGAAATGCATGTGTGAAACAACGAATAAATGAATTTTGGACAGTAAACGAATTTTTTACAGAGTACAGCAATAATATGAATGTTAAAATTTGTTAACCCACATAGATGAAATCATCATCTTTCATTGCATAAATAAACTGCAGTTAACCAAACAACCTTTGCATCAGCAGCTTGATTTTCTCGATCCCATGCGAAGGAAAAAAACATGCGCATGCATCTTATTTCTATTTTATTAATTTTATTGCCATTGAGATATACCGCAACTTTTTGGATATCAGCTAATCGTTAGGTGCACCGTGCATGGATACCTCGTAAGCAATATGATTTGGGGATTAGCAGATAGTGGTAGTGTGGATATACCTCATAAGTTATAATTGATAGTATACATATTAAGCGTTTAAGCGTTTTAGTAGCTTTCTAAATAGCTTATCGGATTGGCTACTCCCTTGTCCAATATATCTGTAAAGTTCATCCCACTAAGTGCAGCTAATGCTAATTCTCTCTTCTCTCATGAAGCCACATCATCTTAATTGTTTTTAGCCCTTGGATGATTCATCAAGGGTGCAAATTGCATTTCTTCTCCCCAAAAGCCACACCATACAACTCAACCATTTATAACTTTTCAATAATTGATCAAAGTACAAAATATACAAGCACATGAAAGAAAATCATATAGTAAATAAGATTTTTTTTTCTACAGCTCATATCTACTATTTTATCACACAAATCTCCCGCAGCAATGTGCGGGGTACCCATCTAGTTTATAGTGAGAACGTTTCCCGGACTACTAAACATGTAATATTTTATCTTTTTCTCATAATTTCTATGATTTTATCTAATTTATTATAGTATCATGTATGAATTTAAGAGTGTTCATAAGATGTTTAATGGACTTTAACTTTTCTATGTTTATTTTTGCATGGTATCGATAGGATTTGAATTTTTCATCAGACTTACTATAATGTATTCGTGCAAATCAAAAGATGCAATCAATAGGAATCCCAATCGCATACTTTTTTTCCTATAATCTAAAGGAGCTTTGAATTTTAATTTTAAATCCCAACTATACTTTTGAGCTGAGTACAAACTTTTTAACGGTGTATTGCCTTTTGGATTTCACAAAAAAAAATGAAAGAGAGGAACATCGGACCGGCGTGGGTACATACTTATGTGCACCTTGAAGTGGGGACTTTTAGAGATAAATTTAATTGGTAGTTTTTTAAGATAGATGTAATGGATAAAACAATAGTCTACCAAAATAAATGAAAATCAATAGTTAAATGCTTTTTTTCTTAGAATTTATGTGATTTATTATAGCGTCACGTGGCAGCTTAAAAGCGTTTATAGAGATGCTATGTGGCGGCTTAGAACCGTTTATAGAGATGCTATGCGGTGGATTAGTACCGTTTATACGAAGTTTATTGGACTTTCAGTATATAATTGATAGATAGATGGGTAGATTGTCAGGAATAAAAAGAATTAACCTGAGCATAAAACCAACATATATTTTTTAAAAGTTAATACATGCAAGGATGCACGCATGCATGTAACTCTCCATGAAGAGGACATCGATAAATGTAACCATAGAAGTCTATATTTAATTGGTGATATAGATCAAATGCTTTTAATATTTTATTATATATGCTTTAGCTCTCAACAACTTACGAAAAAAAAGAACAGATGCTGCATATACATGCTTGAGCAGTGAGCAGATTTTACCGGATTGGACGTTTTATATGTTAGCTGTTAATTTTTCTTTTCAATCTGTAATTTTTCTGATTTTTTATGTTTTTTATTTCGATCTTCTTTCAGATGGATAGTACTTACGTATTTTCTCTCGTATAGAAATGTATATTAGAAGTGAGAGATTATATTTTAATGGATCTAATAATAATCTAATGGTCCAAAATAACGAATCCAGAGTTTAAGTATTAGATGTTTTACCTTTTTCTTAGAATTCTCTAATTTTTTATCGCATCACATGACGATGTATGAGCGTTCGTAGAAAGCCACATAATGGCTTAAGAGTGTTTGTAGGAAATTTAATGGACTTTTAGTACCGGCTAGGAGGGAAGGGTGAAGGAGATTTATTTTTTATCTAATGGTTAATATTATCGGGTCCACCATTTTAAATGAAAACTGATGGTTATATATTTTTTTTCAGAATTTTTCTCTAATTTATTAGAATACCATGTGATGGATAAGTTTTTTATTTTTTCGTATAGTAGATCTAATTTATTTATGCATGTTTTGTGAAATGATACATTATCATGTTTTTCTATTTTATATAATAATTTTAATAGCATGGATATGATAAAAACTAAATATTTCTTACAAGTTAAATTACAGATTATATTGCCTTTTGAATCGTTAATGGACCACAATGGATAGAATAATACGGAAGAATAAAAAGTTTTATGTGTAATTAAAAATTAACCACATTTTTTATAAATTATGGTTATTTTAAATTTATTAATTTTTTAATATTTTAATAACTAAAGAAAAAGAAGAAGGGGGAGAGCAGGAGGGGAGGGAGGAGGCATGTAAGTACCTTACGTACGTCGTACGGTACACATTGGAAGGTGTGGGCCGGGCAGGAAAGATAGGGAGGTGGGTTATGTTTTTTTTGTTAAGATAGATTTGATAAATTAAATAGTAAGAAATAATGGGTCCACCAATTTATTAGATTGCCACGTGACGATCTAGGAGCGTTTGTAGGTGTGGGCCGGGCAGGAAAGATAGGGAGGTGGGTTATGTTTTTTTTGTTAAGATAGATTTGATAAATTAAATAGTAAGAAATAATGGGTCCACCAATTTATTAGATTGCCACGTGACGATTTAGGAGCGTTTGTAGGAATCCCATGTGGCGTCTTGAGAGCGTTTGTAGGAAGTTTAATGGACTTTTAGTATATAATAGATAGATAGATAGATATGTCTACTTTGTACTAAGGTAATTTTTACCTTTGTGTCACTTCGGATAACCCAAACTTTTATATATATCCACATCTAGCTTAGACTAAGTCAAAATCTAACCTGCATAATTAATTTTAGGGGTTCATCAGTCGGCGTAATATTATGATCTACATATAACTTTTATGAGTTTTATGAGTTAAAGCCTTTTGGCCTTGAAGCATGTAACTAACTAAAATTTACTCCCTCTGTCTAAAAGTATAGGGGATTTTGCCCCCTAGCTATGCCCACAAATATAGGCCTGGTTTAGTTCCTAACTTTTTCAAACTTCCAACTTTTTCATTACATCAAAACTTTCCTACATACATAAACTTTCAACTTTTTTCTTCAAACTTTCAATTTTAGTCAAACTTTTAATTTTGGCGTGGAACTAAACACACCCATAGTGGATTTGTCTCCTCCCAAAGCAATCAGGACTGCCAGCCACCCATCAATCAATTGCTGAAAAGGTCTGATATTACTACTACTACTTCATTCTTCCTCCGTCCAAAAAAACCAACTTAGTACTGGATGTGACACATCCTAGTGCTACATACATTTGTTCAGATTCGTTTTACTAGAATATGTCACATCCAGTAAATTTCTTTTTTTTTTTTGACGGAGGGAGTACCATCCATGCCAAAAACTTAAAAAATTACAAAGAATGTACTTGAAAGTACTACTTACCAGTACTACTTTGTTTATTGTGCCAAAGATGCTTTTTCAAACTTCATAGTTGTACTGCTTACTCTTTCTTAATTTATGCTATTTTAGGCAATAATACCTTATATACCTGGACGGAGGGAGTAATATATATTGTTGTTACTTGTAGAGACTTCGATCAAAGATCAATGACAAAGCTGTTAACAAATTGTATAATGTGCTCTCTCTCTCTCTCTCTGTGTATTTCACTGGTTTTATTGAATATATTTGCTGCCGTTAGTTGGGGTAAATTAGAGATGACAATGGGCCCCGAAACCCGGAACCCGACGGGTAATTACTCTATTAGGGGCTGTTTGTGGTTCAGTTTTTGTCCCCATGGGTCTCTTAGCGGGCAAAAGTGTCACCCGTCGGGTGGAGCGGGTGCAGGTCCGTTATCTTGCCCCCGTACCCGTTAACCCATGGGGCTGATATGCAGTTCTTGTTTAATAGGTGGCCCATCAGAATTTCGTTTCACATGCATTGTTTGGCCCAAGGCCCATGCGGAGAAGAGCTCTCCAGTAAAAATCAACGCAACCCTAATCTCATTCCTAAGTCCTGACCAGCCGCCTCCCTTCCTCGTTTCTCCTCTTTCCTCTCTCATCTCGCTGTAGTCCACACGCGGACATGCCGCCGCCGCCTCTGCACTGCGCCGCCTGCCTGCCTGCCGCGACCCCATTTTGTCCGCCATCCGTGCTGCACCTGCGCCTCGATGCCAGCCAATAGATCGACGACCGGCGGCCCCAGGCGCACTGCGTGCTCGACCACGCCGCTTCCTCTTGTTCTGCGCTGCTCGGCTTGCTGTCGTGGTTGTTGCTGTTGTGTGTGGAGACCCGGTGGGTGCCCCGTACCCGTTGCGGGGACGGGGACGGGGACGGGGGAAATCTACACTCGTGTGCGGGGATGGGGAGGGTGGCGTTCGATTTTTTCTGCTGCGGGGGTGGGTACGGGGTGGTCGCACCCGACGGGCGCAGCCCCGTTGCCATCCCTAACCATGAGCGATGGCCACATCGTCCAGGTGCGCTACGGTGACACAGGTGCGGGATTGGGGAGGAGGAGCGGGTGGTCGTGGCGGAGCCACCCTGGATGCAGCGAGGTGGCACCTGCTCATGTTGTACACCGACCTAGCACCATGGTTCAAGTACGCCACCGTGTGCGCCCACGAGCTCAGCTCCTGGTGCCACCTCTCTCACTCGCCTCGACGGGACAGGTGCATCCATTGTCGCCACAGACGACGCCGACGATGCGAGAGAAGAGGAAGGGAGAGAAGATGGCAAAGAGAGAGGGTAACCGACTCACTGACATGTGAGTTCCACAATATTTCTGAATTTTGTCAGCACCACGTTAGCAGAAACCGTCATCCAAATCGACTTGGGAAGGGTGTGTCATATCTAGTTCTACGGTGCAAGATGAATTTTAGACTCAACAATTGAGGGACCTAAGTGAACTTATTCCTTTCCACTGCAGTTGCTAACTTGCTATCATGTATAGTTAGTTGAACTAGCTAGCACTGTTGCGCCACGGGTGCCTTTGCGGTACTAGGCTGCGAATGGATTTACGGGCCTGTTCACTTTGATGCGAAAAAAACCTTACCAAATTTTGGTAAAGTTACCAAAAAAAAATAGCTATATTTAGTTTGCTGCCAAATTTTGGTAATTATATAAAAAATCCTACCAAAATTTTGGTATCAAAGTGAACAAGCTCTACATTATTTCCGTATAGTTGGGCCACGCAGAAAAGGACCGACGAGCTTGGTGATAATTAACTATATACACGAATGACTCACGATGAAAACTGAGCAAGACTTGTACAACGCCGCATACAGACGCCACGCCACAAGAAGCTCCTATGATATCATTTTTCCTCTCATGTGGGTTGATATATGAGCCTCTCCCACGAACTGAGGCTCATATATCAGTCACTTGAAGTTATAGTTAAGTCAGAGGGTAATAAGTTAGAGGATCCTGGTTCCTACGGACGCAACATATCCCATCTGTTTTTCCATCGCCAATTAACCATGTGGTACTCGTATCGATACAAGTCCATTCTGAAAACTGTGGCATGGGACTCAACAAATCAAAGCTCAGTAGAAACCGGTACCCTCCCAAGAATAGACTTTGTAGCAAACATTCAACTGTATCATATACATCTTTTCTTTTTCGTTAGTAACTTGCAACTAAAACTGCGGTTACCTGTAGTATGCATGATTGAACAAGTCAGTCCACCTGCTAACTCAAGAGGATTCTTCTCATCACATCGCATCAAAGAGCGAAAAGTCCTGAAAATGATCAAAGTAAATGTCGACAGCACATTTTCTGAAAGACCGGTCACAGGTATTGCGTGAAAACAAACCTTATTAGGATTAGTGCTGAAAGCAGCACTAGTGAGGTCAAGTTGGGGTCAAATGTATGAATTGTCAGCGCCTTAGCGTCGTCTTTTTCTGGAAGAGTGAGTATCCAACAAGAGCAGACAGTAATATAGTCCATAAAACCTGCAGAACACAAGGGGTTTTAACTGATGAACCATGATATGCAATATTTAATTGTTTAATCGAACATAATGCCAACGCATGCAAACTGAATTAAATCTTAAGGCAGTTGAGAAAGAATATGGGTCTTGAACAGCATCTGAAAATAAAGAGAAATTACCATATTAATTGTATTCCATCTCTCAAGCCTCCTTAACCTAGATTGCACATCATCAAGCACACTATCTGTAGAAGAAACTTCTCTTGTAGGTGAAGATAAATCTGAATTGAAGCTACCTCCCTGCACCACAGAATTATTCAATATATGAGAATAAAGTTAAGAAAGAACAATAGCTAATTAGCCATAGAATCTGATCATACAAACACATCTGCTATTACAGTTCCGTCGAGGAAAATCTCGAATAAGTATACTACAAGTTGTAAACTAAACAAAACGAAGTAACTAGAATCCTCAAATCAAAACTAGCGCATGACATGCAGTCACACAGCTGATGGAATCATTTACAGCATACATTAAATGATTAAAAGTAACATAACTTTTTGATATAGGAAGGTGCACGTCATAGCATACATGCACATACTCATACATATAGCTGATGGAGACATTTACAACATACAATAAAAGTAACATTGAATTCATAAAAATAAGTGTATAAGATGTGGAGAGGAAGATACTACCACTGACACTAACTTCTTTTAAAGGACCAATAGACATTTTTTTTAGATGAAAATAGCTACAGTTAAACATGATACAGCCTTTGGAAAATCATCTGTTAACTGTCTGATGTTTGGTAAATAATGTATGGATAAGCATGCTACATGGACTTGAACCAATCAAGCAACCATGCTCAATGGCCTATTTTAAACCACCGACCAGGTGACCACACTACGAAACATAACCGCGTCCAACACAAAAGGCAATTTGCTAGTATGTTCTCCCACAAACAGTTGTAAAGAACAAATACTTATGTTCTGACTACCCTAAATCATAGCCATAAAAAATATCCCATAATGTAACAGTAGTATTTACAACTAGTTGGTTTGAATTAACATACTTGTGACTGGATAAACTCAACAAGTTCTTGTAGCCTAGCAGCTTGTTGGTTATGAATACCAGTATGAACATTTTCATCCGCTGGCAAACTCTCCAGAATAATTTGAAGATAGCTCTGCAGAGCAGAATAAAATCATGAAACTGATATGCAATAATGTGTGTGCAAATTAATCAATTTAACTAGCTAGGATTTTCTAGGAGACCTTTGTCGTGTATGAATCATCTAAGCTGAGTGCAGATGCAGCAGAGGAAACTATTTCCTTGTTCGTTCCTTTAATCTGAAGATACGGATTTGTCTCACCTTGTAGACTATCAACCTCTATAAGAATCTTCAATCAAGTAAACAAACGTTTTAGAAGTTAGTGGTTCCAGAACCAATGACAATTGCAAAAACAGGAAATCCGCTGGCATCATCATAATGTTAACTAACTTCTGTAAAAATATTACAATTATGAAATGAGAAATATGGGGAAAAAGTAGGCATTATCATAAAGCAGCTTCAAATCAGAAAAATATTAGCTGTTCAAATTCTGTGCAACTGGGAACAACAATGTCCTGATCTGACTCCTAATCCCAGTAAGTATGAGAACACTCAACAATGTCCTAATCCCAACAAGTATGAGAACACTCAAAAAAAAGTGGTGAAAATTATTCCAATGCAAATAAATATTATTCCATCGACCCAAACATACATAATAAATTTATTCATATACAAGAGTGTCACTATTCCTAAAGCATACCAGAACTTTCATTGAATAAACTTTTTCTTTCAACAATTCAACAGATATGAATACTACTACCTCCGTTTTTTAATATATGATGCCGTTGACTTTTTGACTAACGTTTGATCATTCGTTTTGTTCAATTTTTTTGTGCAAATATTAAAAATTTAAGTCATGCTTAAAGAACATTTAACGATAAATCAAGTCACAATAAAATAAATAATAATTACATACATTTTTTTGAATAAGATGAATAGTTAAATGTATCTTAAAAAGTCAACGGTGTCATATTTAAAAACAGAGGGACTATAGTTTTCTGCATAGATATCAATACAGGTAGAGTACAGGTTGAGGCACAACTGTTAACCAAAACAATTTTAATTTACAAATACTTCAAACCGCATCATTTTATACTATATATAGTGAGTCAACAACAGTAACTTAAACTCCATTCATTTGACTGTTTCACAATATAAATCAGAACCAACCATACACACAGAGGAAGCACTCAAAAATTTCTGAAGGAATATTTGGTAGGTACTATGTCTAAAATTTCATAAAAATGCATCAAACTAGGTGAAATTTTCCATGATTTCTATATATCAATATCTTTGAGGAAAATATTAGCCAGCAGCCCAGGCCCAGCACTTGCTGACAATTTTTTGGCCATATCAGCCAAAACATCAGAAAGTAGACAAAGAGTGTCTCCAAAGATACATTATTTAAACTACGGCAGCAGCGCAAAGATTGTATCCTGCCTTTTTGAGTTTACCGGAGGAGGGGACACTACCCACAGTTCAAGGAAATGCACCTATAACAGCACATCCCATGGTTCATTTATAATAACTTGCCCAACAATTACTATAAGACTTACGCTTCATTCTATTCAGATGGTAGAGCAATTAGCTCGTTGGCTTACCAGCGAAGACACCCAATGAGTGCTAGATTAATTAAGTTTAACCATTACAAACATGAAAAATGAATTTGCTTAAATTTTTGAAGGAACTTCCATATACTACCTCCGTCCCAAAATAATTGTATTTCTACACAAATGGCCACAATAACCCTACATGCATAGAACAAAAGAAAGGTTGAGGCAGATGGAGAAGGAATGATGGGAGGGCAGAAGGCAGAATATCTCCTTCTAACTAATTGGATGGGTATCACCTTATTACAAATACAATTTTTTTGGGACAAAATTTGAATGGTAGATATACAATTATTCTGTGACAACTTTAGCAGTTTGAAAAGTGGGCCCATGATAATCTAGTAACCAGTAGCTGAAAGGAACTGAGCCTCATAAAGAAACATCACACATTGATCATATGAAATGCATGTACTCATAACTTATTATACAGAAAGAATGAAAAGAAATATAGATTTGATGGAAATAATAACCTTTCCATCTTGGTAAATCGTTGCAGAAGCTTCAATATATGCCACAGCTCGGTAACTATTAGAAAAGGAAGTAAGCATATGAGCAAATTTCAAGATATGCCCTAGTGCATGAAAATTTTCTTATATATCAAAGTTATCTTTCAGAGTATCAGCAGACAGTCACTAATGACTAATCTACAATCACACCTATTTATCAAGTTTGATGTTTCTTGGAGGGTCGCCCAAACATTAGTTAAACCACAATATTATGTTTTGTAAAGTTGTTAGGGATTTCATAAATAAAAAAAAATGTTAGGGACTTCATCAAAAAAATGCTAGGGATTTATACAGAACTAATTAGTTCCTACTTGATCCAACTAGGTAACTTCTTTGATCATTTAGTGTTGGACACGTAATGTTAGGGACTTCATGAAAAGAATGTTAGGGACTTCATCATTTAGTGTTGGACACAGAAGTATTGAGATAGAGTTGCCCATCAGGAGGATTAAATAGTTGTAACAATGGTAAAACTTAATGATGAGTAAATTGCGCATAAACTTAGAGTGGAGATACCACATAAATCCCTATACTTCAGAGTTTTCTAGATGGACCACATAAGCTTGAAAAAATATTCAAATTGTGTCACAACTTAACAGGAGGGATCAGGTTCAGTGCTAGAGAGGTTGAAGCAGTGTAGCCCAGTCAGTAAGCAACTAAAATCATGTAGCACAAGAAGCTTAATATCTCTTCTGTGAAGTTAACCAACGATGCCAGGGCTTGATTAGACACTAATGCAGGTTTTTAGGAGAAAATACAATGCTTTGTGCTCTGGTATGTGCACTTGCCTTCTTGGTGCTTATTTATTACTCCCTCCATCCCAAAATATAATGGATAATGCCCATTTCATTTGTCCAAAAAGGGGATTTTGAGATCCCGAGGCATATAATACAATAGCTTTTTGTAGTTTAATCCTCACCTACTAGCTTTTGTACTTGTTTAGTCGTTTATTCTCCATATGCCAACCTTTGTACTAGTGTATTTCCCCAGCTACCAACGTTTGTACCACCTTTTCATGGGTTTGAGGAATGTGTTTGTCCTTTTCCTACTTATTTGTTAAAAAAAAATGGTATAATCCCTTGCATTTTGGGACAGGGGGTAGAACACTAGTTGACATGCATGATTCTCCTCGAGGTTGTTCTTATGAACAGAAGACCATGAGTTGAGCATAATATTGATGATATTTTGCTAATCCAAGGCTTCAAAAGTCAACTCATGAATTCTATTCTGAATTGCAGATTGATGATGCAAGGAGAAACTTTTATCAGGCGATATGCTTCTGACATGATTTAGTATGATTTTAGCAAGAATCAATCATGATAAAGCATCAGTTGTAATCCATTGCTGAATCCAGCCTGAGTGAGGACAATGTGTTGGAAGACAGAAGTTGCCATGTACTCCCTCCGTTTCACAATGTAAGTCATTCTAGCATTTCCCACATTCATATTGATGTTAATGAATCTAGATAGACATCAATATGAATGTGGGAAATGCTAGAATGACTTACACATTTTGATAAAACATACAATCTCAATAAAAAGACCTCTAGAAAATCAGCTAAATTAATAATTAACATCATAAAGCATATCACTTACCCAAGCTTAAGAAGTCCTGCGACAGTGCTGGCACTAATGTCAAAATCAACCTTTGGCTGGATAATAAAATTTCCTTCCCTTATAGGCTACCATTAAATGAACAAAGGAAAAACGTAGCCTGTCATTGACTGTCTCATGAAAACACAAAGATAAATGGTATGCAAAAGGTAAACTAACCTCTCGTATTAACAGTGCAAATCTTCCTTCACATATTCGGACCCTAATACACTCGCCTTCTGTCAGCTGTCCACTCAACGGTATGCCAGGAAGTCTTAGATACACATCAGTAAAATTCTGGACACAGCTGCAGGCTTTACTAGCATCGAGTACTTTCAATATGTCTTGATAAGATACCTATTCATGAAACAAAAATAGATAAATAATCACCAACGTAATAATAAGATGAACAATATAAAGCTCAAACTTACCTGTTTTTTACTTTTTAGTACGAAAAGTGAGCTTTCAGGAGAGAGCACAGGGTCAAAGTCATTTTGAATCTTAAGCTGCAAAGCACGTGGAGAAGGAACATTGCGTGAGTCCAAACAAGTTACTAAATACATGATAATGGAAAGCCATAAATGATAAATATATATCAAATAGGTCAAATTCATGTTTCTTGTACCAACATGAGCATCGATAAGATGTGGTTCTATGTATTGCTGAAATAGCGGAAACACGGTAGTCATAATTTCACTCTGAGAAATAGAAAAGCCTGCACGATTCTTGTCTCTCTGTATTCTTGCAATAAGATGAGAATGTACTCCACCAACCTACTAGACAGAATGCAGTAAATTTCCAGGGAGATATTTATGATGTAAAAAAAAATCAAACTAGATAAACAGTTTTTTCAAGATTTGAATAAAATCTTACAACTTTTTTTTGAGGGTAAAAAATCTTACAACTGCAATCCATAAATCCAGTGATTTCCTTATAGCAGGATGCAAAGCATAGACACCTTCGAAGATTACCTAGTAGTCCAAAAGAGTAAGATAAGAAACAATGTTATCACTGAAATTTGAGGTTGATTGGTTCAAAATACCCAAAATAAAGGTTAATATCAAATCAAATTTTATATGTGTATTCGCTACATCAAATCTAATTGATTTTTTTTCTTGTACAGCACTCACAGTCAAGTATAACAGCTATCAACCACATCATATAGTTTCCAGTACAGAATAAGTAGAAGAATTAAAATAACTAACTACAATACCCTGTTTTTACAATTTTATGTTATCTTCAATAGAGTTGCTTACTACAAAAAGAAAGATGCCCTCACTAATTCTTGATTTGAAGAAGCCGTTTGAAGTTTTAAACATGTACCTCACTCTGATATTCTGTTTGCTACGTATAGAATATTTTGCATATGGAATTCATTTAACACCGCGATTCAACATAAGATATTATTATCGCATATTTAGGAAAAGGTCACAACACCAAAACAACATTATTCACCAAACAGGTGGAATTCCATTGACTATATGCCACTATTTTTAGTTGGCACTAGATTTTCCCTCCCAGTTCTTCATTTTTTTTTCTCGAAAATGCTTCATTTCATTAAGAAGCAGAAATACGTACAACAAAGCGGTCCACGAAGAAGGAACCCTCTAGAAAGAAAAAGGCATCACAAAAAGCGACGCGCAACAGATTACTCCTAGGAGCAGCTAACCAACCAAAGGAAGTGACCGATACAGGAACTCATTGAGAACCCTGGCACAAGCCGTACACCAAAGAACACTCTTTCTTGCTATTGCTTGCAAGACAACCACGGCGCTGGGCATGGCCTTATTGAAGACAATCATTCTGGTGCTTCCGAATTTCCCATGCCACTAGGATAATCAAGGAGTTCAATCCTTTCTTCGTCTCCTTGACCACCTTGGACTACCAACTAGAGAAGCGGGTTGCCGAAGGTTGGGGAAGGCATTATGGACCATCATAAGCTAATCATGAAATGACCAGTGAGACCCCATATCTGAGAGTGGCCACAGGACACCTAATCACACTTTGAAGATCTTCTGCCCACCAGAGACAATGAAAAATATAGTGCCTGTAGCACCATACAAGTGAACAAAGGCGGATGCTCGCCTTACAGCACCAAAGAGAGTGACTTGGTGTGAATCAGAGAACGCCGCCACCGGCACATAGTATAATAGACCAGTCCAGGCCAGAGGTTAAACTGGAAAAAGCCGGAACCAACAACCTTAGTGGTTCGGTTGACTGTAAGAATTGTTCACGCAATTGAACCAAAAGAAACAGACGTTTTCCGATGGAATTCCAGCAACTTATTGAGAACACACAGGCCGCAGTTCTCTTGGAGTCCAGCTAAGATATGGCCGTTGGGTCTAGAAACGCCTCTTGCTAAGGCTCAAGAGCACAGTGTTCCAAATATATGCGAAAAAATGGTTTTCCCACTTGTTTCAATGGCCATCTAAACTACTACGCTGATGTGTTCAAAGGAAATATGCATACAACATAAACATCCAGTCCTGCAGTATCCAGCTGACTGGCAAAGCAGGTCAGCCGGTCCGCCCTTTTTCTATTATGCACCAGCATCCTGCTCAAACGGCGTGCTCTGATATTCTGACTTCTGTTGAACCCAATAAATGATCTCAGAGCTAAATTGATGTTTCCAAGTAGCCCAAGAACTCCATCACAAGATTCTGCTTTCGCACACCTTGATTGTGTACATTCTCATGGAGTCATGGTGATCCCTAGTGAGGTCAAAAGTGATTGAGGAAGGCTGATAGAGTATTAGGACACCATAAGAGGAGAGGTATGGTTTCAATAGACAGTGAAGGAGATGATGAGTTGGGAGGAGAAAGGGGACAGAAAAATGGACAGTCCAAGTAACATAGTATGTATTACATCATGTGGGATTACAGCTTCTTAAGCAACAACGAATATTGTAGTATAAAAATAACCCCCCTCCATATGTGACATGGTAGTTACCAAACCAAGAATATTACCCAGAAATGAAAAATACTGGGTCCCTTCTGAACCATAACAAAATGTATGTCAATGAAAATATGAAAGAGAAAGATGGTTATGTATTTTACCACTCCACATTCCTCAGAGACTTGAAGCTCCTCGAATTTCTTTCTTTTGCACTTCTCAAAGTCAAAGCAAGGAACTTCTGCTTTGTGATTCTTTCTGATCTCCATAATGTTCTGCGGGGCGATAAGAGAATCGTCATTTAACAGGCACTATAGAACCCAACCATATGATTCCAGAAAAGAAAAGGCAGCATGCAAAATGCTGTGGAGTAAGAATAATTTTATCACCACTATTGAATGCTTAATATAACCAATACATATTTCTGGCAAATTAATGTCACATAATAATTTTCTGTCTCTGTTGAATTAAAATCAGTTTTGTAAATACAAGAATTATCTGGTAATGTGGTTGTTCACCACCAGATTTTGAACCCTAAATTCAAGTGATCTCGTATAGATAGAAACATGGTTCAAGAAGGCGCTAGGTGCTAGAGGGTCAGCAGAGCTGGTGCCTAGTGCCTAGCGGGCACCTAGGACATACCAATCATAGAATCCAAGAAATTATCAAGCATATTACATAGAGAAAAATAGCAACACAATAGCGCCCAAAGTAGGTTAGCCTCCTAATGCACTATCTAATGCCTAATCGTGGCAGCTACCAAGTGCCTAGGCGGCGCCTTGCATCGACTTTTAGAACAAGATAGAAATTTGGAAGCATGCTTGAAATATTTAAGATTCTAGTAGTTATGCACAGGAATTTGTAATTCACATGATAATACAGAAAAGGAATCAATATAAAAAGGAATCACCTTAGTAAGCAAACCTATATCCAATGAGCTATACTCATCATATTTATAATCCCTAACTTGTTCAGGCTTATAATAACTCTCCAAGCTTATAACTTCACAACCAATTATATTGGCCATCTTCTGAGCTAAACTTGTCTTGCCTGATCCACTAGGGCCACCTACAAATAAACAGTGTATCAACTTAAACAGCGACAGCATAGTCAGTAAATGTAATTTGCTGGGTGTGTGGGTCATATCATTTTTGCACAAGTTTAACAGAATTATTATTACAGAATCAATCTATTCCATACAATATAAAATTCTTAGAAGAATTCTTGTATTCACATACATGGACTAGTAAAAAAACAGATGGGGCGCAAATAATCGCTCAGTAATCTGCCAGAAGGCCCATTTATGTTTATTGTCTGCTTTAGCACACATTTTCACAATAGATGGTTGTTCGCCATAAATAAGGGACAATTGCTTATATTTAGAAGCCGAACTACCAAATTGACCCTACTTTTTCAGGTTTGCTCATTTGACCCTGTTTTTCAAAAGCGAAGCCACCATCTGACCCTGTTTTTACTAGTCCGTTAGGGTTTCAGTTAGAAAAAGAAAAAAAAATAATTTTACTCGCATGAACTGACCAAAATACCCCTCATCCCAACCTTTATCCCACATTGGCGTGGCTGGCCGGCGCGTGGAGGGACCAGGAGCAGGTGAGCAGCGGTGCTGGCAAGCAAAGAGAGGGACGGCAGTGGGCGCCAGCGTATGGAGGAGCAGCGGCGGCGGCTTCTGCCGCACAGAGAGAGGAAGGGAGGGGCAGCGCCGGCGCGCGGACAGGCGGCGGCGCCTGTTCGCGGAGGAGCAGCGCGCCGGCTTTTGCCGCGCTGAGGGAGGGACGGCTCCAGCACGTGGCAGGAGGAGCAGCGGAGCTGGCGCCGGCTGTTGCCGCGTGGAGGGAGGAGGGATGGGCGGCGACGGCTGCTGCCGTGTGGAGGGAGGAAGGGAGGGAGGGCCAGCTCCGGCGCGCGGAAGGAGGAGCGGCGACGCCGGCGCACAGAGGGAAGAGGAGCAGCGGCGCGGGCGCGTGTAGAGGCGGTGGTGGCGATGCGTGGATAAGCAGCGGATGGTGCGGCGCTGATGGGGAAACGCGCGGGCCGGCGCTTGCTGTGTGGATGGAGTGCGTGGCCGTGTGGACGGAAGCGTGCAACGCTTGCCTGGCTCAGCCGGAGGCACAGGTCCTGCGTGAGGCGCTCATGTGGCCCACATCCTTGCTCGCTCTTGCTCTACCCACACCTCCTCTCTATACCTTGTTCTACTAGATCTGGAAGTTGCTTTGCTCTTGTTTTGCTGATCTGATTGAATAATCTCTCTTGTTTTACATGTATTAATTTCACACTTTTTTTTTTTTTTGCTTTGGGGTCGACACAAATTTGAGCTTCGTGATTTGCTTGGGGCAATTGTTGGATGTGAAATAGCATATATGCTTTTCTTTCTTCAGCGTGCAATTGGATGGATAATATATTTCCAAAGTTTTATTAAAATTCAGTCATCTTTGCTTAAGTTATCAAATCTAACTCAAATTCACACACAATTTGTCAATTCCAAGTCAAATTTATTAAAACTTTCATCACATACACCGAGTACACAAAACTAAGCCAAATAAATAAAAACTCAGAGAGTATACTCAAAATGAGCAGGGGTATAAACGGCATTTGGCCCCTAAGTTAACACCGTTAGGTTGGCCTGATAGAATAGGGTCATAGCTAATGTTCATTTTTGAAAAGCGGGGTCAAATAAGCAAAGTTGAGAAAATAGTCAAACTGGTAGTTAGCTTTCAAAACAGCGTCAAACGTGCAATTGCCCCATAACTTAAATATATTACAAAAAAGGCATGACATGTAGCCCCAGCAACTGGTACAACAAACCCACAGAGAATTGTAATACAAGTTAATCCTAAAATAACAGGTGTATAGGAATAGATTAGGCACAACCTATCAGGCACTCTTTTTTGCACAGCAAGCATACCATTATAGCACATTAAAAACTGGATCATGTGAAATTTGGAGATATAGATGCTCTGATATCACTTTAATGAAACTGGTAGTCATTGCAAGTGAGACTTGTCACAAGGGATATCTGGTGCAGATGTCTGACTAAATGATTTTAAGTTGCCCCAGCAAAGTAGAGTGAGTTGTTTTAGTTATTTATCATTCACAGCAAGCAGATGCTTGGTCTTAGTAAACACAAAACTACTGCTACTTTATTAACGGTAAAGATGTTATTACCAATCCCAACAATGACAGGAAATCCTTTGTTCTCCAACAATGCCTGAAAGACAACAATTAATGGAATATGTTACAGATCAGTAATGCGTAACTGTGATGAAAAAAATAGAATGTGGTTTCATTTACCTGAATTGCTTGAACTGATAGGAGAAGACCCCTATCTAAGTCATAGGAGTCTGGCAGTGGAGCTAACTGGATGTTACTTCCTGAAGAAGAATCTGCAAAAGTGTAAGAATATATTCAATGGATTTTCTACAGAAAAAATAATAAATAAATATGGTTTCCAATGTACTCCGTAATAGGCATGGTTGGGATTAGGGCACTTGCGCCTATTTCTAGTTGTGTATCCCTGGACCCAAGTGGCAGCGGTGCCATTGAGGCAGCCACGCCACAAGGGCAGGAGAGAAGGGGAAGACTAAATACTCTTGTTTATTACTTGCTTGATGAGTAAAATACAAACCCCGTCATATAGATGTGTTAGCTTGACCATTAAGAAACCTATCCCTAGTATTAAGAAAATAACTAACTTATAAGTCTAACCTTATCTCTAATAAGACCACCTGACATGAACTATCCACGCACGAAAATTAACCAAGTAGGTACTATTAATGCACAGTACCACCAGCCCTAGAGAGGCAGACCACTCTATGGGCCCTAATGGGCTGCACATGATATCCAATGACAAGAGAAAATGCCCTTTGTTTTAGCATTAAAGAACAGAATATGCAAGGCAAAAATCATAAATGAAAGCACAAGTTTAAAACCTTGATTGAACTGCCATTTTCCCATAACAGGCTCCTGGTCAAACTTTTTGGGTGGAGACCTCGTCCATGGTTGTGCAAAGTCATCAAAATTTGCAACATTTTCGGTCGAAACACGAATTGGCTTTGGTGCAACAATTTTTTTTTCTTGACTTTCAGTCAGTAATTTCCTTGAGATTGGTGGTGGCGTATTAAGTCGTGGGACCCCTGACAACCAACATGAAACTTATTAGTGGATAGAAATTATTGAAAATAAAAAACATTGAAAACAAAAAATGTTGCACCTTTGCTCTCTAGGATCATTTCAAGGTATGACTTCGTAATCCATGGCCCCTTTATACCGAGCTTTCTAGCTTCTGCTGCAACAATCTAAATTATGCAAGCCAGTTACATATTCATTTTTTTTCCAAAGTTCAATGACAACAAACATCAAAATAAACCTAAAGGTTGCAACATAGAAGTTTTATCGAGAACAGAACAAGATCATTTGGAATTCATAAACATATTATTCACTTCAAAAGATAAGGGTAGAAAATTTACATAGCTATAAACTTATCAACCAAGATCAATATAAATTATGCATCAGTCAATTTCACTGCAAATACATAACTCAACTGAATTAAAAAAAAAACAATTTCAACTCCAATTTCAAAATTTTCTTGGTAAAACTCCAGCAACCTACATAACTCCATTGTATGTTAATGAATTGAATGAATTGAAGACAATTCTTCTAATCAATGTCGCAGAAGGGTGATCTGATACACCTCAGTCTGCAATATGCTTTATATGAAAAGGTGAAAATAAAATGAGGAACACTGATCCGTTAGTGCACATTCAATAGAAGCCAGAAGTAACCAAAGTTGTTTATGAAAACTTCATCCACATCCTTGGAAATCAACAGTTTGCATCATTGCAATAGCAAAACAATATCTTTTGGTACAATAGAAAAGTGTGCATATGCATATTACAATGACGAGGAGATAGAGTGAACAATTACAGGAACTGGAGACAACGTTCAGTTAACTTAGAAACTAAATTTAACAGTTTAAATATTGCAGAGTAAACTAAAGTACAAGACAGAGAACTGGGTCATCATAAAAATTTGACTCTTGCCACAACATATAGGTAAATATGTGCTATCCGAAAGTGTATACCTTCCTACTTGGACCTTTTAGCACCAGAAATGTTTCATTTAGGGTGTCAATAGTCTCTGCTGCAATTAATAACTGATCTCTGCTGACAGATGTGCATGTACGTTTGAAGCTAACAACAACACTATATCCTAAGGCCAACAATCCTCCCAGAGTTGTACGTCCAACCTGAGACAAATTCAAATATATGAAGCAGGTCAGAAACTTAAACCTGTCAGTATTGTACTTTTTGTGTAGCACAAGGTTACCTCCATCCCAAAATGTACCTATTTCTAGATATGCACCTGTCCAAGTGAATAGCTAGAAATAGCAACATTTTGGGACGGAGGTACTGAAGTAGTACATCCCAAGTGACATTATCAGAAGATGATCCCCACCCAGCCTCCATGGAAAAGGGACATCTAGCACAAACTTGACTCCAATAGAACACTAATATTCAGATTTCATCTTACAGTCTTGTGTGTATGATCTTTTGTTTCAAATGCAATGAGCTCAACTGGTAACATCAAGCCCCATAAGATACAGATTAAATGCATTGGTTTCTAGGGAAATTGAAAAGGATCTACAACAATGAACACCAGGTATTTGGCCCTGTAATTTGTGTTTCCAGCAGTACTTCAGCTTCATTACATAACCAAAGAATTGTCTACCAGTTTTTGCTTGTTAACAGAAATAAACTGCATGGTTCTGCACTTCAACTACAATGCAGGAAAATTATTCGATCCTACACGCTATCATCAGTATAGAATTAGTTTGAAGAATTTCATAGATGATAGATCAGAAACAAATGGATTCATGATGATGAAAAGTCGAATAGGTTTATTTACATTATGCAATAGTAGCTGATTTATCCCCAAAGTATCAGAATATAAAAAATATTAATATTTAAGGAGGTAAAAGCAACATGGAGTAAGAATTGTACTGTAGTCAATGAATATGTAGTAGCAGAGAAATGCAAGGAAACTAAAAGTACATATGCAAAACACATCAGCACACCCTTATTGTTTTTGGTTACGTCCAAACATTACACTTGTATGTAAAACCCCAAATTTCAAGATAATAAGATCACTTGTGTACCTCAAACTCAGCTTTTGGACGGATAATAAAGTATTTGTCCACAATCCTCTGATCCCCAAGAGACAAGTAATATCTTATTCCACATTGCCTAACTTTAATCCAATCATCAATTTTTATTTCCTCGGAAGCAAAAGGTGGCCTAAGGTACATCTCAATAAAGCTGAAAATACATAAGAAAGAAACTATCACAAATTGAAGGGGCATATTCCCCACAAAAAAAATGAAAATGGACATATCCACACACATAAGCTTGATAAAAGTATAAGGGGATTGAATATCAACCAATCAGATCTAGAAGTATATATGAACATTCATGAAGAAATGTATTAAGTGATATATATGACTCACTTCTCAGTTTCTCCTTCATTTTGATTAAAAAAATACAAATTATGTCCATCTGGTAACTACAAAGACATAAGCAAAGTTAAAGAAGAAAAGAAGGTGAAAATAGTCGGTGCAAAAAACAAGCATTAGTAACAGCATATCTTGATTGTCAACTCTTATGCAGAACCTCCTTTGTTGGAATACTAAAAACTAAAATAAAGTAAAATAGAGCCTCATTCAACGCTAATTTCTGGGGCAAACTATGCTGACACGAAGTGACCTCATACATTTTGGAGCCATTTCAAATAATAAAAACACATGCTTCCATTTCAAACAAATATAAATGTAGATTTCAAGAAACTACAAATCATATATCCCTGTTCAAAGCTTTGGCATATTTTGCATTAAGTGTGGTTGCTTGCTGACTTGTTGCATTAAATAAACTACAGCCATGAAACAAACATAAAGCTTAAACAGTTGAAAAGGAGACAAAGCTTCAGTTAGATACATAATATGTTGTCTACCGACCGGAAACCAATGCTGACCTCGTTTTTGCATTTAAGCTTGTAGTATGGTTCTCGGAATGAGCAGACAAAGCTGTTGTCGATTCTAATCTGCACTAGCAAGTAGCAACTCAAATAAAAAAGAATCAAATGGTACCTACAGACTATAAAAAGGCAAAAAAGGTACAAGATGTATACTTGAGCATGATGCAAGTCTGGCTCAATATGCTTTCTAAACAAGGGAAATATGCTATCAATCAGATAGTCCAACGAGCAAGAATCTCCAATATCATGCTGGACTTTAGACAGAAGGCTAAAATGAACACCACCAACCTGAAGTTCATGGGTGAAATTATTGAGATAAAATAACTGTTCTATAATGAAAAATATTTAGGGCAATTATAATTTTTACCACAGCAACACGAATATCAAGCAGTGACCTCAGTGTTGAATGAAGAGCATAAGCACCATCAACAATCACCTACAAGGATATGTTGTATCAAACTAGCAAAGATATCTGATTCTAAGGTTGCCAAATGTTCATAGCATGTATTTCTGAGATATTTCACCACTCCAGATGGCGAAATCTTCAGTTGCCTCCATCCTGTACGTTTCTTCTCTTGAAAATCAACCAATGGCATCAATGTATCTTTACCCTTTACAAGATCCTGCTCAGCAGACATGATTGTAAGGATACTTGTAATACACCTAAATAAGCAGAAAATTGTCAAGGTGGCAAACAAATGAAGAAAATTTTGTACAAATAGATTACTCAAAGGAGTCTGGATATTGATCCAAATAGATGCATCAATTACAAACAACAAGCATGACACTTTTAGAACATTGGAGAAAGCAGAAATGTGTGCATTCCAGCAGGCAGCAGGTAAAGGAGTAAAGCAAGCAACCCTTATAGACCAAAAACGATCGGCTGGATTGTCACTAAAACCAGCAACAGTATAGCAGAGAGATTGGGCATTTCTAAGCCCAGAAAATATGCCAGATCACACATGACCAGCATATTTCCTCATAGCAAATCTACGAGGTGGGAAATTAGGTCCATTATGTATTTCAAAATAAACAGGGTAGAACCCATGCAAATTTGGATTATTTGGTTTCCAAAAGAGAAAGTACTTGAATTGTATTACAATACTACTACTGATCTCTTCATTAATCATTATGGTCGTATGCATGAATGACCAATTGAACACATAGAGGAACACACTAGTAACCTCCACAATGAACATTTTCTTTATTGTTGTTGTTTCTCTCTTCCAATGCAATCACAATATTAACCTATCCAATTGTTTAGACATCTAATGTATTCAGACAACTTTTCAAGGCCTCATTAAAAATAGAATTTATACACAGTTTAAGAATTGTTGAAAATACATAAATAATATCAGAGGGTAATAAATCAAAACAATAATAGCAGAAGAAAGGCTCTAGGGACTAAAATACTACAAGCACATGGGCCCATGAACCAAACAAGTTTATGCAGCATTTTTTTCGTCATTTCGGCAAAAATACTCGATAATTGTGCAACATGATGAATACCGCTGCAAAGTGTCATAGAAAAGCACTGGACCTACAATTATCAGTTATGCAGGCATATGCAGCTCGAATGGCTTTGGCATTAAACACAGGAAAAGGCTGTAAGACGAGAATAAGGCATACTAGCAACTCAATTGCACGTCTTCCAGATATTATGACCAGTAGTTGATTTCACTAGTAGAGGCTCCATTTTTTCCAGAAGCTATTTATAATTCCAACTTTCCATTGGAATGCACAGACCTTGACACAGTAATTACACTCAACAGCATCACCAGCATAGCTACACGCCTACACATCGTCATCATACTAGCATTTTGCTACCATTTCGGTTTTCCCTTTGAAAACATGGTAAAAGAAAAGGTAAATAAATATTCCAATACAATTGGTGTGCATGTAAACTGTTCTGCAACCTCCAGATGTAGAGGGCACAATGGAAGCACAAATTGAATGCTCCTCCTAGATTAGGAACACCCATTTACCCCACTTTCCCAATTCCTGTATCATTTGACTCCTTGCAACTACATAGTATCAAACCACTAGACTTGATCATCTTTTAACATTTTTTTTTTATAATTTGACCATGTCATGTAAAGTTGGCTTGGTAAAAAATAATTATTAACAGAGGGATATCAATTGACAATAGTTATCAAGAAGAAACTGTTGTTTTGGTTTTGGACCAAATGGACTGCGATCAAATTATCCGGCTGTATAGAGGGCTAGAACATAAAGTGGCACGGAGACAAGAAGCTGGACATTTCTCTTTCTGAAAATAACTCTACTTCCCCCATTTGTATCCATCCATCAACTCTATTCTCCAACAACAACCACTAGCCCACCCTATCAATGGTAGTAGTACAATGGAACAGAGCATTCAAGCCCACCATTTGTCACGCCATTCTGACCTAGTGACCTGCCATTAAAGCAAGCACCCTGCACGTATCCAATCCCCACCCCTCCAAAAAAAATCCCCAAAATCGAAGGAACGTGCGGGCACGGACCTGGAGGTTACGAGCGAGGGCGTCGAAGTCGATGGCGTCAACGTCGCTGCCGTCGTCGGCCCCGGCCACCGTGCGGTAGTCCTCCATGGAGACGATCACGACGCACCCCAGCACCGACGCCACCTTCTCCGCCAGGCTGCGCCCGGCACAAAGTGCACAACACCACCACCACCAATCAGCAACAGCAACCAGCGCGCGGCGGGAAGGAGGGGAGCGGCCCGTACCTGGTCTTGCCGGAGCCGGTTGGCCCGCCGATGCCGACGGTGACGACGAGGCCGTCCTTGCGCTCACGCAGCTCCTGGATCGCCTTGACGAGGAGGTAGAAGCCGCGGTCGAAGGACTGGGGATGGAATCCAAGCCAAGCCAGCACAGCGGATTAGAACAGCAAAATGGAGGAAGGATCGAGAAGGTTGGGGAGGGGGAGTTACCACGTGGAGGGGGAGGGACTGGAGGATGGAGGAGGCGGCGGCGGCGGAGGCGGAGGCGGAGGTGGGGGAGGGAGGGGAGGAGGGGTGGTGGAGGAGGAGGTCGCGGCCGCCGGCTCGAGGCAGCGCTGCACGAGGTCGGCGTCCATGGCGGGCGGCGAGGTGGGGGAAGGAAGGAAGAGGGGGGGGGGGGGGGGGTGGAGTGCGGAGGAAGGAAGGAAGGGGGAGGAGGCGGCGGAGGGGGTGGGTTGCTTTGCTTGCTTGGAAGTTGGAACCGCCGCAAGTTGCGGCTGCTGCTGCGGCTTTGGCGTGTGGGACTCTCCACCGGGTTTGGGTCGCACCGGAACGACCTTTGGCCCCCCACCTGGCGGTCGCATAATATTACCGTTACGGGGTTACGGCGGGGTCACAGTGTCACACCGGACCAAAGGCGGACGCATAATGTTACCGTTACGGCTTGGTCACACCGGAACGACTGCGTCTACGTATCTGTTGGCTGCAGAAGGTAGCATCTCCAAAATAGGTTCCTAAAAACATAAATTTTGAGAATTTGATCAAAACCAGGCCTCCAATAGACTTATAAGAGCATCACCAACAGCATCCCAAAATTTGGTTTTTCAGAATCCTAAAAGAAATTTAAGGTGTGAAAATAATCATCTCTCCAAGAGATGACCTATAATTAATTCTCTAAGACTGAAAAGTAGACCCTATAAAACTACAATCAGAAATATGTTTCCTTCCTCCTCCCGCAGTGATCATGATCAGCCTCGACACTTGCTGTCAGCACGATTGCATTCACCTCCCATCCCACAACGTTGCTCTCCCCCGCCACGACTGTACTTCTACATATTTTGTCCTGCAATGTTTGTAAACTACCATCTAAATTTGTACTTGTAAGAAAACATCTCAGTACAACATCAACCATTAGATTAGTACAACATCCGTATTTCAATGCGATCACACCAACAACATTTTAGTAGAAAATTATCTCAGTCCAATAAAGCAGCAAGCAAACCAACATAACCAGTAAGCAGCAGCCAGCCAGCCATTACGAGCAATGGCTACTTCTAGGATCAGCATCAGTTCAACACAGTAGCAGAAGCAACAAGCAGCAGCGGCAGGCCAGCAGATCAACATTAGCACCAGCACAGCAACATCGATCAGTAGACCCAGCTACAACAGATCGCCCCTAGGTGTGGTCGATGGGAACCGACTCCTAGGCTACTCCGAGAGTCCGCTGCTGCCGCCGCCAGCAGTTCTCTAAACAACGGCGATGGACGGGACAGGGAGGTGCCAAGCCGACATGGAAAGCAGGCGGGAGTTGGGGTCACCTACGGCGATGGACGGGACCGGCGAATGTCTAGCCAGCTGCGTGGAAGATGGAGCCACCGGCTGCTTGGGAATAGCATCACGTTTCCGGTCGTTGGCGAGGGAGTTGGGGTCACCTGCGGCTGCTGGACAGGTCAATGCGGTGGTGGACGACCTCGCCGAGGACCTTCTGACGGGCAGGATTCCCCTAGCGCGCACCAAATCGCGACGGTGGAGGAAATTGGGAGGGAGAGGGATGCCCGATTTGTGGAGAACGAGATATGCGGAGAAGGGAATGTCAATTTTTGGGAGGAAGAGTAGGGATCCTGTTGGAGGTCAAATTTTACACAAAAGACCGAAATTTTGATATTGGGAAGAGTATGGGGGAACTGTTGGTGATGCTCTAAACATGGCTCCTAAAATTTACGCACACCCAAAACCAGCACCAATCATAACTAGATGTTGGGCAACTTGACGCGCTCCCAATCGCAGAAATCGTGTGTGGTCGCGCCAATTTTTCTTTCCCTCCCCATGCTTTCCCCAACCGCGACAGCTATTTCCCCGAAACAAATCGCCCTCTTTCGTTCGTCGCCCGCTAGGTCGAGAGGAGCCACGTCACCTTCCCCTCCTCGCACCAGCTCCGTTGTCAGCTCCATCTAGGTCACTGTCGGCCCGACATCCATAGCGCCACCGACCTCTAACCAGGTTGCCATCGACTGTCCATCTAGGGCGTTGCCGACCCTCCATCTAGGGTGCCACCGTCCGTCGATCTAGGACACCGTTGCCCGCCCATCCAAGTCGCCGTCGGGGCCATCATCATCCACTTCATTGGCATCATCGGTAGTCTCTGCCTCTTCGGCCACCTCGATGACGTGTGCTGCTACTGAATTTTTAGGTAATTTCAGAGTAATAGATCATTTCTTTTCTCTTTCTCTCCATGGATCTAACTCCCTTTGAGTTCAATTGAGGTTGACTCATATATATATAGGTAGTGCATCATGCACAGTAGTCATTTCTTGTTGAATGATGCAGTGCAAGTGTTGCTGTGATGATCTAGGTAGGTGCTAAAAAGAAGTAATGATAAAATCATTTGTTCTTAATCTACACCCTAAAGTTTTATTAATGAATTGTACTGAAACTATATTTTATTCAACTAGACAAATGGTACATGCTAGTTTCCTATACTTTACCGAGATTTTATTTTTGTATTGGTATAGTTGACATTTTTTTTTGCCTAAACTAGTATACCAGCTGCATTTCTCTTCTGCACAAAATAGTCATCGTGATCCTTTATTGCATTCATTGTGCAGAGAAATAGAGGTCGGTTCATTCTATTCCTACCAAGTATAACTAATGAGAGACATAGCATATAGCTAAGATAAATCAAAAAAAATTGGCTTAATACAATTCCGCGCTTGAATAAAACTGGACCGTAGGTAGGATTATCCTCTCAAGTGTGTGCTTCTCTGTTGCGATCAATCGATTCATGACCCATGATAGAACCGCCATGTTTTGGTGCATTGACAGAGTGCCAATAGCTATGCACAATTTGCGTTGCGGCCAAAAAAAATTCATCGTCGTTGTCGGAGATGATTCCTCCACAAGCCGTCGAAACGAGAAGCAAGGACTACTCATCATGGATCAAATCAACTGCCAAACCATTATTCATCACAACAAAAATAAGTTTTTCCCCTAGCGAAATTGTCGGATCAAATTAAAAAAAGGGACATGGTTGAAAGAAGAAAGTCCTAACATGAGGGTCGCCTAGGATATTAACATGCAGATTGATGATACGGTCGTGCAGAGGATCAGCTAAGTCTTCCGTTTTTCCACATTAGAGGCGAAATATTTCGTCAATACCACTGTGGCTGGTAAGAGATTCTCTAGTGGCAGCAGGAGCCAGTGTCGTCAGAAAGGGCAGCGGCAAGATAAGGAGAGATATGATCCATGCGTATGTTAAAAAAAAGGGTAACTGTTAACGACAGAATTTTGCATAAGATTTGGAGAGGAAGAAGAAAGATCGAGACGGATTTGGTGTGGAATCGAGTTGATCTCCAAGTCAGGCTGCACATCGGCTGAGTGTCGTATCGGCTGGAAAAAGAACAAAGGCTTAACTTGGCCGATATGGCAAGTAGACGATAGATATAACTTGGGCTCAGCAGGGCCTAGATTGAGGTAACAGTCATTGCCAATTAGAGATAGAGCTTAAATAAGGCAATTGTATCTATTAGTTAGGTTAGTTTAAGTCGGTTGTGATTAGTTTTGGTAAGAGACCACTGTATATGGTCTTGTTTGTATTTTATCTTTAGAAAATTTGAGTCGTGTCCATAATGGACTAAGTTTGTACTCGGGGTATAAATATGAACCCCATAGCTATGTAATATAGGAGATAATCTAATACAACTTCGGCACATTGCCACCCTTTTTGTTTTTACTTTTCGACGACTTTGCTTCGCAAGAGGTAACACGTCTCAATGGCTTGTGCTATTGGGGCTATTATGTCCCTTTAGATGTTTTAATCCTTTTATCATGATCATCTTCTATCATATGTCTTAGCTAATCTAGTCTTAGTATCTAGATTTATCTCTATCGGGTGGTTCTCGCTTTAGGGTTCTGCCGGTATCGGCTTTATATTCTATTAGATTATATTAGTTAAGACATCTACCATCCTGAAAAGTAAATATTTACTTGATTGTTTAGACTCTAGTTTTTTTTATCTACTTTGCGATGCATCATCCCTAGTCTTTTATCGAACCCTAGAAACTAACCTAGAAACAATTATAATTAAGGATAGTATTGGAGTTTCAGCCGATCCTACCTAATATACATGCTTCTTTACCAAGTTTTATGTAATTTATCACTTATATAGATAGATCACTCTATATAGTTATATCAAGGTAAATCGGTATCGGCTGTGCTATCTAAACTATTAACCGATCACAGTTTGATATTTTTATATAGATTGATTTGCCTATATAAGTTTGTACTAGAGTATTAGCTGGTACATTATATTTTTCTTGCTCTAAATGTTGTTCTATCGGCTATTTACATGATACCGTTTGAAGTCTATTTATCAAACCCAAACAAATGATATTATAGCCGATGAGACATGTTTAGGGTTTATTATGTTCTATCTTACCAAGTCCATAGCCGATCTGGTCTAACTATATCGGCTGAGACCACCAACAATACCCTATTGGCCTATCAGTCGATCGGCTATCGGTTGACTAATTGTAGCACGAGTTCCAATATAGTATGTAAGAGAGATGGGTGGATTAGATATTAATGATGCAGTATATATCTATAACTAACTATTGTATAAGTGGCTATTAGATTGGCTATATATGATATTTCAATTTTGGGAGCTAGTAGATGGCTATATTATTAAACTTGCTCTAATCTCACCTCTTCGTCTGTCTAGATTTTTACCCCAGCTAGTGAAATGCCTCTAATTTGTTGTGGAATTAAGAAAAAAATGGGAAAAAGTGTTCCATATCATCACAAGTTTCCAGTTTTAGTTTGATAGCACTGAAATTTCGTGTTGCACTTTAATACCGTTAGAGTTTCCACCGTTACTCTTCCTACTACTACCATTAAAAAAGCATCGTGAACTTTCGATGGTATAAAATTAAACTTGAAAACTTTCAATGGTATGGAACAAATTTCTAAAAAAATATATTTATATGAAACATCAGCATGTTACAACGAATAAATGTATTTTGAATTTTAAATTTTAGAATTAGGTAGAGGTTTTTTTATCTTCTTATATCTTAGTCATAAAAAAACTAGAGTAAATTGCACCCACGGTACAACAACTTGGCAGGTGGGTGCGATTCAGTGCAAGAACTTGAGAATTAAACGTCCGAGTGTAACAACTTGACAAGTGGGTGCGGTTTAGTACAAGAACTTGACAATTTAGTATTTTGGTGAATCAATTTAGCTAAGCATATGCTAGGTGAGGTTTTTCACGATGTCAATATGCCAATACACATTAATCCTATGGATATTACCTTATAATATTGAATTTAATCTTTAAGAATTATATTGCACATACAATTTACATTCAGTTACCTTTAAGAATTTTTTGTTTTCTTCACCTTCTCAAATATCAACCGAAATATAATAATTTCTACATCCAGTTTAATTGACTTTCAGTTATTAGCTATTAGAGTTATTAGTTATTAGGATAAAAATATAAATATGTTTATACAAATCCACGCTAGTATATTGTCAAGTACTTAAAATTTTGAATTTATATAAAAAATGCTCCAAATAATTAAGTTGTCACAACTTCTTAATTTATTGTATCAAAATCGTACCTACCTTACAAGTTATTGTATTTATACGATCACTTATAAAGTTCTTATACTAAATTGCACCTTCTTGCCAAGTGGTTGCACTAGAACGCTCATTTTTTAAATTATTATACCAAATTACACCCACCTACCAAGTTGTTGCACTGTGAGTGCAATTTACTCAAAAAACTATAATAGACTCAGTTGAAACTCGTCTTTGCCGGATTGCCAAGCCACAGGGCTAGGATATCAAATTAATCCATACCTTAGCAAAATAAAAGATGACACGGTGTCTTTTGTTTTATTTTAACTTCATTAGAATATGTTTTATATTCAGTAACGCCGGCTATTTCTAATTCAGGATACATACTCTATGTCCCATTTTGGTTCTGATTAAGGTGCAGATTCTTGAGGCCATAATAGTATAACCAGCGATGGATTAGAACTGAACTTGAAAAAGTTAAGGTTTAGCCCGTCAAGGATATTATATGGGATGCTCAAGCTATAGAACAATACAGGTAAAGGTTTTCATATATCTTATATGTAGTGTCGTGTGTATGAAAAGCGAAATCAAATTTGGATTGGAGTCAAATTTCCATATGGCACACTCTAAATTATTTTGTTTATATATTTTCATGCGACGTCGCCAACTCTCTTGGTGGGCGTCCACCCGTGCGACATCGCCGTGGCTGAACCAGAAGGCCACCAGGCAATCGGCATCAGACCCGGTGATGATGTCTGCTCGACAACCTTAGCCGCGTGTAAGTTTTTTAAGGCTATATGTTTGTAGTGACTATCTATATATATTTGTTGACAAACAAATTTGTCAGATGTAAATATGATATAATATTAGCGTAATTACATGTAATTATAATTTGTGAAATTGTATATAACTTTCCAAATTTCTGTGATAACATGTTATTTCCGCGAAGCGGTTGTCGTGGAACCGAATCCCCTCACCCATAAGTGTGCAATGATTTTTTTCCCTTCTCAAAATTTTGAAACAAATCCGATTTAAAATTATATGAAAGTTATATTATAGTTACAATATAATTACAGAATTATGTTGTATTTACATTTGACAACGACAAATGTGCAAAATCGCTTTTGTATTTTTTTTCCGCTATATCCACACAAACTTCACACCGTTTCTGCAATGCTGATATACTAAAGTTCTCTGCATATTGGCCGTTTCTGCAGAGCAGGCGGTAGATTATATTGCGCTGGATGAATGGATCCAACGCTGGTATACTGCATAGTGCATACATATTCTTCTCTAACATTACTATGGCAACTTGTACTGATGTGCTTTGACCTAACATTACATTTGACAACGATAAATGTATAGCAAAATCGCTTTTGTATTTTTTTCCGCTATATCCACACAAACTTCTCTGCATATTGGCCCTTTCTGCAGAGCAGGCGGCAGATTATATTTGCACTGAATCCAACGCTGATATACTGCATACATATTCTTCTCTAACATTGCTACGGCAACTTGTACTGATGTGCTTTGAGGTAACATTATTTTCCGACATTTTCATTGCGGGATATAATGAACGAACAACATGCATATTAAGAAGCTAACAATTATCAGTTATAATAACAATATGTAATCAAACTGTTTCACGATCCAGATTAATAAGCATTGATATTCAAATTAAGCGTGGTCTTCCTCTATAGGATCGATCTTGCAAATTACTGCGATTTTACCTTTCTTTTGTTTCTTGAATAGAGAGACTCGAAGCCAATTTTCTTTCATCTCTGGTTGTTTCCATTCTCTAGGTAGGATATTGCACTGCACCCTTCTCAGAGTATAAGTCCAAAGCCCTGGATGCAATAGGAGAGACAGTCCACGATCGTACACGGCTCAAAACGGTCCAACCGTGTACGTTCGATGCTTCCATCTGCAAGGCTATACCGTTCTAAGTTTCCACAGTATCCGAAGTAGATGGTATCAGCAGCGACAAATGGTAAGGTCTCCGCCGACACGGAGATCGCGCGGGACATGCTGATGAACAGGGCGCGCCAGTTGAAACCCTTTACCGGGACGAGGATCCCGGCATCGAAATCCACCCTCCACGCCTCGTACTTCCTGCTGCGCTTTGTTCTGTAGCTACCATCGTCATGAGCATAATGGTCTGGCCAAAGCATCCGCTGCACCAGAATCAGCTCCCCGCCATTGTCGACCAAGTGAAGGGTGCTCTGCAGCGCTCGGCTGGAATGGATCAATGAACTCTCAATCGCCATCCGCATCTGCGGCGGCGGTTTCCGGCGATCATCCGAAGCGATATCGAGCTCCATTATTCCCCTGTCGGTGGCGCGGTAGAAGCGACTGACGAATGGCAGAGCCGCGGGGGAGGTGTTGTACGTGCTGTTGTTGTTGTCGTCTATTAAGTTGCATGCACCAGCCAGTTGCACCTAGAAGCCTAAGCTGATAGGGAAAGGCGGACAATTCACTTTATACACTCCAACACTCCCCCTCACGCGAGACCCCCTCAAGTCTCAAGCGTGGAATATTGGAGTGTGCTGCAATTATTTTATTTAATTGCGCGCCAGCCAGGATTTGAACTCGAGACCTCTGGCTCTGATACCATAAAAGTGTGATAGGCTCAACACGATAGATTGGATTATCACATATGGTAGAGTACATATAGGCACATGCCTTCCATATCTAGCAACCGATTTATAGAAACAATATCGGAGAAGATTAAGGAAGGATGGCAAGGGATAAACACAATCTAACACCCCCGCAGTCGGAACGTCGTGGGAACGGACATTCAGACTGGACCGAAACTCCGAGAAGATGGCACTGGGCAACCCTTTGGTGAAGATGTCGGCAAACTGTGACGTAGTAGGTACATGTAGCACTCGAACAGATCCCGCAGCGACGCGATCGCGAACGAAATGTAGATCGATCTTCACATGCTTAGTACGCTGATGTTGCACCGGGTTAGAAGAGAGATAGACAGCACTAATATTGTCACAGAAAACCAATGTGGATCGGCTCGGAGGGGTATGGAGCTCATGAAGAAGCTGTCGAAGCCAGCAAGTTTCAGCCACCGCGTTGGCCACGGCACAATATTCTGCCTCGGCACTGGAGCGCGATACAGTAAGCTGACGTTTGGAGGACCAGGAGACCAAGTTGTCGCCAAGGAACACACCATAACCCGAGGTGGATTTCCTGGTGTCTGGACAACCTGCCCAATCAGCATCAGAGTATGCACTCATCCAATCAGCATCAGAGTATGCACTCAAGTCAACAGTGGAGGAGCGGCGGATGTGAAGACCATAATCAACCGTGCCACGGACATAACGCAAGATGCATTTGAGAGCAGCAAGATGAGGCTCCCGTGGATCGTGCATGTGAAGACAGACCTGCTGGACAGCATAAGAGATATCTGGCCTGGTGAAAGTCAGGTACTAGAGGGCGCCAGAAAGACTCCGATAGTCCGTGGGATCACGAACTGGGGCACCATCAGCGGCAGAGAGCTTGGCGTTGGTGTCAACAGGGGTAGCACATGGCTTGCAATCTGTCATGCCAGCACGCTCCAGAACCTCGAGGCAGTACTGGCGTTGACTGAGATGAAGACCAGAGGACTGCCGAGAAATAGAGATGCCCAAGAAATGATGCAAGCTGCCAAGATCCTTCATCGAGAACTCCGACTGGAGAGCACGGATGGTCCACCGAAGAAGTGCATCAGAGGAGGCTGTCAGAACAATGTCATCAACATAGAGGAGCAAGTAAACCGTGTCTGAGCCTCGACGGTAGATGAACAAAGATGTATCTGATTTTGCCTCAACAAAGCCGAGTGTAAGGAGAAAGCTGGCAAACCGGCTGTACCATGCCCGTGGGGCCTGCTTGAGACCATAGAGCGACTTGTTGAGACGGCACACAAGGTCGGGCTTGGTGGGGTCAACAAAGCCGGCGGGCTGAGTGCAGTAGACTGTCTCCTGAAGTGTCCTATGGAGGAAGGCATTCTTCACATCCAGCTGGTGAACTGGCCAATCGCGGGAGACCGCCAAGCTGAGGACAGTGCGGACTGTGGCAGGCTTGATGACAGGGCTGAAAATCTCGTCGAAGTCGATGCCGGGGCGCTGCGTGAAGCCGCGAAGGACCCAGCGAGCCTTGTACCTGTCCAGGCTGCCGTCGGACTGGAACTTGTAGCGGAAGATCCACTTGCCGGTGACGACATTGGCGCCATTTGGGCGGGGGACCAAGTCCCATGTACGGTTGGCCTGCAGCGCAGTGAACTCTTCCTCCATGGCGGACCGCCAATTGGGGTCGGCCAGTGCGGCACGATATGTGCGCGGAACTGGAGAGAGAGTGGTGGCACTCAAGTTGTAGCGCTTGACGGGTTGGTGAAGTCCGTGCTTGCCGCGTGTCGTCATGGTGTGCTCATTGATGATGGGAGAGATGCCGAGCTGCGTTGGCAATCGAATGCCGGGGACACGCGCACTGCGGGCGCGTGTGGCAGCACCAGTCGGTGGTGGTAGCAGGGGAGCTCACTCGGTGGGCGCGCTGGCCAACGAAGCAGGCGTCGGTAGGGGAGCCAGCTCGATGGGCACGCCGGCTGACCAGGCAGGCGCAAGTAAAGACAGCCCAGTCGGTGCGCCAGCTGACCAGGGCGACCGAGGGGCAGGCGGTCCGGTCGGCACACCAGCCGACCGAGTAGGAGTGACGGTTGGGCCCGACGGCCCAGCAGTGGTTGAGCGCACCGAAGCCTGTGCGGGGAAGCTGCGAGCGGCCGGCCCAGTTGGTGGAGTGGCCGGCCCAGTTGGTGGAGCGGCCGGCCGAGAGCGGCTATGCTCGGTGAGGGCCGTGGGCGTGCAGGCCACCGGGTCAGTGTGACCAGGGCGGCGGCGACTGCCAATCGGCGCAGGGAGAGGAGCTGAAAAATCCTCAAGAAACTTCAAGTCAGTAGCAACTGCATCATTAGTCATCTCAGCAAAAGGAAAACATGTGTCACGCCCAGAAATTTAACCCAAATTTCCAGACTATTTTGCGTATTAAATCCCTGTCCAGGACCAGCCAGGGTACACAAAACGACAAGTAATATACAGTTCCAAACGTAAATAAAGCGTAAAATACTTACGGAAGAGGCACTTAGTCCTCACACCGAAACAGAACGACAGCAGCGGAAAAAGGCGATCCTAGCGGGGCTTCAGCTCCACTCCACAGGCAAAACTCAACTGGGGTCTGAGCCTTGGTCCTCTAACTCCATCTTCAGATCAAAAGCACTACACTTCTGAAAAAGGGGGAATAATAGCAAGACTGAGTACAACCACCGTACTCAGCAAGCCACACCAACGATGCAGACGTGCAAGGGGATACAAGGAGGGGTTTGTGGCTATTTGCATAAAGGCAGTTGTAAAATATTTTATTGAGCAAAACAGTAAAACTATTGGGTAATTAAAGTAACATTAAAAACTCCACTGATCAACGCTACACCACGTTGAACAGGCCCAACCAACCCACCTGAATTACAGTGTATTGGGTCGATTTATTAAGATGGGACTAATCACGGTGAATCTGGTCGACCGCCCATAACCGCGGGCACGGCTATTCGAATAGCTTTACTCTGATCAGAGGTGTACAACTGTACCCACAAGACACAGCCCCACGACACGTTTCCGTGCGCCGACATGCCACCACGACATACCGGAAAGAGGCCGTGACAGGACCCTTCGCATAACCCCCTTTAGCCAAGCACACCACACCTCAGGTTTCAACCCCCGTCCCCAGCGGGCAACGGGCAGTCCCCTTTCGTGCTTAGTTGAATCCGGAAGCGACAAGAGGCCTTCGCAGGGCTCGCCCCGCTCCATCACGCCCACCCTTGCCTGGATGCGTCGACTAGAGGAAAGCTACACTACAAGCCCAGCCGTTGCCCACGCTGGCTTGTGGTAAGTACGATAAGTTCTTCCAGGGCATCCCGCGAACCGGTCCTTAACTGCCATGGGTGCGACCAGCAAAACCATGCACCCACAGCCCACTATTCAGTCGCATTTTAGTTGGATAATTACGACCATGAAGCATGGCCAGATGTCTCGAGCACGCAGCTCACTCTGATACTAAAAAGGTCTAATACTGTAATTATCCCATCAACTGAGCTAGTGGTAAATAAGCATCGCTAAGCATATAGTTCTAGCTGGGTCAAATAAGTAACATGAGCTAGTCGATTTATTACCCAAGGTTGACAAATGATAGATATCAAGTAAACATGGCACAAGCGAGCAGATAGTAAACCCTGATCCCGTGTACTTAGCAACATGCATATTTATTTGCATACAGTAAAAGATTTGTAAATTAGGATCAACATGCTCAAGGGGAATGTGTGACTTGCCTTGCTTCTTCAAACAATCTTCCGAACTCTTATCCTTGCGACCGCGATCTTCCGAAACGACGGGAACTACACGCTGGCACGCAAAACGAGGAAAAACTCTTATAAAAACCAAGCAAACAGTACATAAAAAGTAAACAAACATGTAGAGCTCAATTTTAGATGAATTTTGCAAGTCGACCCGGTCGGACGGCCACCGGCGGCGGCAGCGCGTCGCGAGGACGCCCGGGAGGCGGCCGACGAAGGGGAGGAAAAGGGAGAGGGAGGGGAGTGCTCACCGAGATGCACGACGGCAAAGGGGCGGCCGACGGCAAGGAACGGTGGCGACGGGGCTCCTCAGGAAGACGACGTGACGGAGCTCCGGCGACGGGCGTCGCTCGGGATGGGGCGGACGGGCTCGGCCTCGATCGGCGACCGAGGAAGGAGGAGCTCCGGCGGATTTCCGGCGAAGAGGGGCGGCGGCCGAGGTCCTCCTCGTCCTTGCGGAGCTGAGGGAGGCAACGGCGCTGGTCGGCGTCGACCGAAGCGGCGGCGCGACGCGGCTGGAGTCGGGGGCGGCGGCGGAGAGAGGTGGTTCGCGTGGCTACGGCGCTAAAGAGGTGGAGAGGGGAAATGGAGCGGTGGCCGAGCTTGCCCGGGCGGCGGCAAAGCTGGCGGTGGCGGCGGAGCAGGGCGGGGGCGACCCTAGCGACGGGAAACGGCGGCCGGAGTTCGCCGGAGTGTGGCGGCGCGCGGGAGCGGTGTGGGGAAGAGCGATGGAGAGAGTCCTGTGCCCGGTGAAACACTGTGAAATGCACGAGGGGAGCACGGGGGTGCTTTTAATGGGCTCGGGAAGGCGGGATCGAGGGCGGACGTGGCGGAATCGTCCGGCGAAGTGGGGCACCGACGTGGGTTGGTGGAGGGTTTAACCGGCGCCGATTTTTCACGGGGAGACTTGGGGTAAAAAGTGGAGGAGGTTGATGGGGATCGATTCCACGCGCTCGTGGGTCAGGGGTGAAGCAGCGGGAACC